AAGCAAATAAGAAGGCAGTACCTCCAAACTCATTCAATGAGGTAAGTATTACGCTGATAACCAAAACCAGAAAAGGACATGGCAAACATGGAAAACTAAAGACCAATATCTCTGACTAACATAGATGCAAAAATCCTCAACAAAATACTGGCAAACTGCATTCAACAACACATTATAAAGATCTTTCACTGTGACCAGGTGGGATTTTTCCTTGGGATGCAAGGATGGCTCAACACATGGAAATCAATAAAAGTGATATAGGTCACATCAACAGAATGAAGGACAAACCACATAATCATTTCAATAGATGCTTTAAAAACATTTGATAAAATTCAATATCCCTTCATAATAAAAACTCTCAACATGTTGAGTACTGAAGAAACATACCTCAACACAGTAAAGGCCATATCCAATAAAATTAGTATCATAGTGAATGAGGAAAAACTGAAAGCCTTTCCTCTAAGATCTAGAATAAAGCAAAGATGCCAACTTTACCACTTTTATTCAACACAGCACTGGAAATCCTAGCTAGAACAATTAAACAAGAGAAAGAAAGAAATGTCATCCGAATTGGAAAAGAAAAATTTAAATTACTCATTTGCAGGAAATGTAATCTCACATTTAGAAAAACCTGAAGAGGCCACTGAAAAACTATTAGAAAATAAATTTATTAAAGATACAGGATACAAAATCAACATACAAAAACCAGTAGCATTTCTTTGTGCCAACAGCAAACAATCTGAAAATGAAAGCAAGAAAGTAATTCCATTAATGATAGCTAAAAATAAAATAAAATACCTAAAAATAAACTTACCAAAGAAGCAAAAGAACATTATAATGAAAACATTCATGAAAGAAAGTGAAGAGAGCACAAAAAATTAAAAAATATTCTATGTTCATGGACCAAAATAATCAATATTTTTTAAACGTTCATACTTCCCAAAGTGATTTACATATTCAATGCAATTCCCATCAAAATACCAATAAAATTCTTCACAGAAATAGAAAAAATAATATGAAAATTCATATGGATCCGAAAAAGAGCCTGAATAGGCAAAGTAATCCTGGGATAGTGGGGAGGGATGCTGGAGACATCATATTATCTGACTTCAAATTATGCTAAAAATCTAATACTAAATGTAAGCAAAACAGCATGGTACTGGCATACAAGCAGACACAGAGACCAAAAGAAGAAGCTAGAGAAGCCAGAAATAAGTTCACACATTTACAATCAACTCATTTTCAGCAAAGGCATGAAGGACATAGATTGGGGAAAGAGTTTCTTCAATAAATGGTTCTGGGAAAACTGGATATTCATATGCAGAAAAAGAAAATGAGACCCTTATCTCTCACTATATGAAAAATCAAATAAAAATGGATTAAAGATTAAAATCTAAGACCTGAAACTATAAAACTACTAGAACAAAACATTGGGGAAATGTTCCAGGACATTAGTCTAGCCACAGATTTCTTGAGTAAGACCTCAAATGCACAGGCAACCAAAGCAAAAGTATATAAATGGGATAACAACAAAAACTTCTACACAGGAAAAAAAATCCACACAGTAAAGAAAAAACTCATGGAAGAAAATATTTGCAAACTACCCATGTGACAAGGGTTAATAATCAGAAGGAGCTCAAACAACTCGTTAGGAAAAAAAAACATATAATTTTACTTTTGTTGTTGTTCTGTTTAGTTCTTTTCTAAGATGCAGTTTTGCTCTTATGCCCAGGATGGAGTAAAGTGGCACAATCTTAGCTCACTGAAACCTCCACTCCCGGGATTCAAGCCTCAGCCTGCCCCAGCCTCTGTAGTAGCTGGGATTACAGGTGCACCCCATCATGCTAGGCTGATTTTTGTATTTTTAGTACAGACGAGGTTTCACCATGTTGGCCAGGCCAGTCTTGAACTCCTGACCTCAAGTGATCCACCTGCCTTGGCCTCTCAAAGTGCTAGAATTACAGGCATGAGCCACCACACCAGGCCATAATTTGATTTTTTAAATGGACAAAAGGCTGAGATAATTGGCAAGCCACATGTAGAAGAATGAAACTGGATCTCATCTCTCACCTTATACAAAAATCAACTCCAGATGAATCAAAGTCTTAAATCTAAGACCCGAAACCATAAAAACTGTGGAAGATAACATGGAACAAAACCCTTCTACATATTGGCTTAGGCAAAGACTCCCTGACCAAGAACCCAAAAGCAAATGCAACAAAAACAAAGATAAATAAATGAGAATTTATTAAACTATAAAATCTTCTGCATAGCAAAATAAATAATCAGCAAACAGACAACCCACAGAGTGGGAGGAAATCTTTGTAAACTATGCATCCAACAAAGGACTAATATCCAGAATTTACAAGAAATACAAATCGGCAAGAACAAAACAATCCCATCAAAAAGTGGGCTAAGGACATACATACAGATTCCCAAAAGAAGATACACAGATGGCCAACAAACATATGAAAAAACACTCAATATCACTAATTATAGGGGAAATGCAAGTCAAAGCGGCAATGCAATATCATCTTATTTCTGCAAAAAGGTCATAATTTAAAAATCAAGAAATTTTAGATGTTGGTGTGGATGTGATGAAAAGGGAACACTTTTACACTAACTGATGGGAATGTAAAGTAGTATAACCACTATGGAAAACAATATGGAGATTTCTTAAAGAACTAAAAGTGAATCTACCATTTGATCCACCAATCCCACTACTGGGTATCTACCTAGAAGAAAGGAAGTCATTATATGAAGAAGACACTTGTACATGCATGTTTATAGCAGCACAATTTGTAATTGTGAAAATATAGAACCAGTCCAAATGTCCATCAATCAATGAATGGATAAAGAAAATGTGATACTGATATATATATATAGTATATATATACACACACTAAATATATATATTTTAGTATATATATATATACCACTATACTAGTATATATATATATATACTACTAAAAATATATATATATATTTTATATATTTATACACCATAGAATACTACTCAGGCATAAAAAGGAATAAAATAATGTAATTCGCAGCAACCCAGATGGAGTTGGAGATCATTATTCTAAGTGAAGTAACTCAGGAATGAAAAATCAATCAAACATCATATTTTCTCATTCATAAGTAGAAGCTAAGCTATGAAGACACAAAGGTATAAGAATGATTCAAAGAACTTTGATAATTCAGGGGGAAGGTGGGAATGGGTGAGGTATGAAAGACTACACATGGGTACAGTGTACACTGCTCAAGTGATGGGTGGACAAAAATCTCAGAAATCAACACTAAAGAACTTATCCATATAACAAAAAGTCACCTGTTCCCCAAAAACCTATTAAAATAAAGAAAAAAATAACTCCTTCCCAATAAGATTATATTGTATAGTATATATAATTATTGTTTTATAAAGTATGTATTATATTATCACACATTATTCTATAACAATACAATACATAACTTTATATAATTATTACTTTAATAACTAAATTATATATAATTATGCTATTAATATATAATAATTTTATTACATTATTATTCCCACCCAAAAAAAAAGAGGCTAAACATTGATCATTTTGGAAACTGGTGATGGGTGCATGAAGCTTTACTACACTATTCTCACTTCTTTTGAATATGTTCTCTAATAAAAAGAAATGAAAACAAAAAATGGGCAAAAGATCTGAACTTAAAATTTAAAAATATTTCAAAAGAAAAAAATCTGAATAGATACTTCTCAAAAGAAGACATATAAGTGGCCAATGGGAATATGAAAAATGCTCAACGTCACTAATCATCAGAGGAATGTGAATGAAACAATGAGATATAATTTCACTTCAGTTTAAATGGTTTTTATCAAAAGGACAGGCAATAACAGATGCCAGCAAGGATATGGAGAAAGGGGAACTCTCATACACTGTTGGTGGGAATGTAAATTAGTATAACCACAATGGAGAACAGTATGGAGGTTTCTCACAAAACTAAAAATAGAGCATCCATATGATCCAGCAATCCCACCACTTGGGATATATCCAAAAGAATGGAAATCAGTATATAGAAGAGATATCTGTACTCTCATGTTTATTGCAGCACTCTTCACAATAGCTAAGATATGGAGTCAACATAAGTGTTCATCGAAAGATAAATGGATAAAGAAAATGTGGTACATATATACAATAAAACATTATTCAGCCATAAAAAAAGAATAAAGTCCTGTCATTTGTAACAATATGGATGGAACTGGAGGACATCATGTTAAGTGAAATAAACCAGGCACAGAAAGACACATATTGTATATACTAACTCATATATAGGACATAAAAAAATTAACTCATGGAAAGAGAGTAAAATGATGCTCATCAGAGGCTGGGAAGGGTGGTGGGGAGAAGAGGGATAAAAAGGTGTGGTTAATAGGTACAAAATACAGTTAGGTAGAAAGAATAAGATCTAGTGTTTGGTAGCACAATAGGGAGACCATAGTTAATAATACTTTATTTTATATTTTAAATAAATAATGGAGTCAAATTGGAATCTTCCCAACACAAAGAAATGATAAATGCTTGAGGTGACGGATATCCTAAGTATTCTGATTTGATCATTACACATTGTATGCTTGTATCAAAATATCCCATGTACCCATATGTATGTATAAGCTTTATGTATCCATAAAAATAAAAAAAAAATTAATTAAAGATTTACCTTGTCTCGCCTTTTAAAATTTATATCACATTAACTTTATAATATACATAATACATTTTACATTTTATAAATAAACTAATGTACTTTTCTTAGGGTTGAGTGCTCAAAATATTTTTTGTAATCACCATATGTAATAATAATAAAAAAAAACTGGAACACAACTTTGCTAGCAAATAAGTGACTTGAGGTCTTGAGTCATTTAGAATGTATTTTCATTTCCTCCAGGGAGACTAACTTTGAGTTTTGTATGTGGTAGAAAACTAACAACTCTTTGTAGAATTAATATTTGTTCCTCCTACATATTTTAAAAGCTATTCTTTTTCAGAGTCTATTTTTTAGAACATTGTGAGGATTTTGAGAAGTATTCCCTCTTAAATCATTTAATCTACTCCCAGAATGTTGGTAAAATTGGTTTTATTATTTCTAACTTATTCCTAATGGATGAATATCAAGTGCTACTTTGAATATGATTAGTAAAGGTGAATTTATTATTTGTACCTTTGCTTAATTGTTCTGATGGTTTAAAAGTTTTCTTATATTTCACTTAAATTTCCATGCTATAGTTGAAGTTCATTACTTCCTTTTCTGCTCTCATTGGCTAATGAGAATTGGTCCCTGTCCTCCTGACAACATTCCTTAACATTTTCAGAAGCTGTCATATCTCCCTTTAGCTTTTTTGTCTCCATATTGGGAAATTCTCAGCTCTACTATACTTTCAACATATAACCTATCCTCCCTGAATTTCTCATAATTCTTTGAACTTAGATTGGTTTGTTCATAAACAGAAAAATTACTTTGAAAATTGTATAATTGCCCCCAAATTTTAAAAAAAAGATAGTTCTATATACAATTTATTTAATTTGTTAGAAAGTAAGCATGAAATTCTATTGGGGAAACAGGTTTGCTTAAAGTTAATTCTTATTACCAGTTTCATAAGAAACTATGTCAAATTATCCTTTCATTCTGCATTTATTAAAGAAGGAAACTTCAAGGGTCTGACATTTCTTGCAAAGCTGTGTATGTGCAGCCATCTCTGCAGAGTTCATGTGCAAAGTGTACTTTTCTGAGAAAATGTATTTATAACTTTCATGATAAAGAACTGCCTCCCCCAGAAAGAAAAACATTCTGACTTGATTCTAGTCCTGGGATAAAATTTAAGTGAGTAGACACAAACTTATTTGTTTATATTTTCTGTTACACATTTTTTTCTTTTTGCAAATGAAATAACTCATATAGCAGTGTATTTTAAGTAAAGTAATATTTACGATTACTGAGAATTTTTCAAGAAATTTGAAATAAGTATTGTCTTGTGAGCAAAGACTTCTTTCTTAACATTATTTTCAATGTGTTTTTATCCCCCTCAGAGAATTCTGCACATCCTCACTAGGGCATTGATTCAGAGCATCCTCTTTCTGTCAGTTGTAATGTTGGCAGCTATATGGCCAGCTGTTCTTAGCCACTCTCAAGTGTGTAATACACAGCCCTCACATATGTGAGATCTCCTTGTAGCAAGGCAGAAATTCTCCTTAAAGAGTACTCCTAAGAAAGTAGTCAAAGGAAAGAAGAACTGTGCTTCCAAGAATGTTCTTACACTCTTCCCTCTACAGACATGGCCCATAAGGCTCTTCACCCATCTTAGAACATTCCTCGTGCATCATGATTTGGCAGCAGAAATTTCACCAGCAATATACAATAGGGAAATAATCTCAATAAGAAGACAACTGCAGTGCAGAGACTAAGCCCATGAAGTATTAGGATATATTTAGATCATGCTTGCAGAAACAAAAAAAGACCTTTGTGCCCAACACAAATTATCCTTTTTTCAGGCCATTTTAACATCCCTGTTCCAGGTTTCCATGTGTTCAGACCAAATTCACACAGATGTAACTGGATGTTGCTTCATCTTCAGCCCCTTTTCTTCCCCTCTGGCTTCCCACCCAAGGGCTGCCTTGCTGGTGATACCACAGGGCTCTCTTCAGCTCCTATGCCCAGCATGCACAACCTGATGGTATGGGGATTATTACATCATGGGGTAAAATTTACCAATTGCTTAGAATGCCCAGTAGATCAATTACTTTTGCTTTTTGCCTCCTGTATTAGTCTGTTCTCATGCTGCCAATAAAGGCATACACGAGACTAGGTAATTTATAAAGAATAAAAGGTTTAATGGACTCTCAATTCTGCATGGCTAGGTAGACCTCACAATCATGGCAGAGGGTGAAGGGGAAGCAAGACATGTCTTATATGGCAACAGGCAAGAGAGCTTTGGCAGGGCAACTCCCATTTATGAAACTATCAGATCTCATGAGACTTATTCACTACCATAAGAACAGTATAGGAGAAACTACTCACATAACTCAATTATCTCCACCTGGCCCCAACCTTGAACTGTGAGGATTATTACAGTTCAAGGTGAGATTGGTTAGAGGCACAAAGCCAAACCATATTACCTTTCCTCTCCAGGATGGCCCAGAGATACAGTTACAGGCATTTTTGTGGTGTAGCATTACAGTCAGATCAATACCACAGCCCCATTTGGGCTCTACCTTGTTACTTGAATTATTTTGTTGTTGTTTTTCTTCACTTTTACTCCCTGGAATTGTCTTCCTATAAAATAAGAGCACATTAGTCTGTTTGGGCTCTTCTTTCTGGGAAAATCAGGCTAAGAAATTCTCTTAGCACTTTTGACCAGGGATACATAACAGAAAAGCCCAAGTATTTATTGTATTTTTTTCCTATATTATGACTTTTTGATACAAACTTCCCAAATTATAGAGACAGAGTATCTCCTATTCTGACCAGTAAAAATAACATGTTGAACATGGTGAAAATATCTAGCGACAATTCAACAAATATTACTAAGCTCCTAGAATATCTCAGATATCCTACTATAGTCTGGATTTATATCCACAAATTGAGGATTGAAAAATTTATATATCGTAATACAAAATGTTAGCTAACTAATCTTAAGAACTTTCCCTCTCAACTTCTGAAAATATGATTTATCTAGTTGAAATGAACTTTACTAATCTGATATAATAGAACTAAGAGGAATAAAGTGTAATTCAATATCAACTCTAAACCCCAAAAATCTTCCTAAGGAGGTAGTTCCCTTGGAGAGTATTCAGAGACCCCATATGACAATCAAACTGAAACTAAGGCAAACAAACAAAGATTCTGAAAACAAATCCTGTAAAAATAGGTGCTATAATTTGAATGTTTGTCTGTTCCAAAATTATTTACATGTTGAAACCTATGATGAAAATGGTCATATTGTCCAAAGTAATTTATAAATTCAATGCTATCTCCATCAACCTACCATTGACTTTCTTCACAGAACTGGAAAAATCTACTTTAAAATTCATATGGGAGAGAGGACAATTCAAGATGGCCAAATAGGAACAGCTCTGGATTGCAGTTCCCAGCAAAAACGCAGAAGGTGAGTGATCAACGCATTTCCAAATGAATTTTTACTGCCTACAGGCCAGGAGATTCCCAGGTGAAAAAGTACCATGAGTCTCCAGCATGGCTGTTTCAGCTGGCGCAGCAGGTCTCCACACAAAAACTCACACAAATCTGCGCACCATTGCAACTGGCAACTGGAACGCCTGAGAGACAGATCACCTGTTCAACTGAAAAAAAAAAAGGGGACTGAAACAGGGAGCCAGGTGATCTGGCTCAGCCGGTCCCACCCCCACAAAGACCAGCAATCTGAAACGCTCGGTACTGAGAGTTTCACAGTAAGCACAGCTGGACCTGGGATGGTCCAGCTCTGTGGGGGAAAGGGTGTCCAACATTACCGAGGCAGCCCACCATTACAGAGACAGTGCGCCATTACTAAGGCAGACCGCCATTAATGAGGAAGTTCTAACTACACCCCATAAACAAAACTGTAAGGAAGTTCATGCAGCAGCTAGGCAGAGCCCACAGCAGCTCAGCAACACCTCCGCTGACAGACTGTGAATAGGCTACCTCCTCACTGGACAGGGAAGCTCTGAAAAAAGGCAGAAGCATGACAGGAATTAATAAATAAAGCCCCACCTTCCTGGGACAGAGCACCTGGGAAAAAAAGGTGGTTGTGAGTTCTGCTGCAGCAGACTTAAACATACCCACCCAGCAGCTCTGAATGGAGCAACAGAGCTCACAGCTCAGCACTTCAGCTCCTATAAAGGAAAGACTGTCTAATTAAGCAGTTCCCCAACCCCCATAGGTCCAGAGACACCTCATAAAGGAGAGCTCAGGCTGACATCTGGCAGGTATCCTTCAGGAATTAAGATAACAGAAGAAGAAACTGGCAGGAACTCTTACTGTTCTGCAGCCACTGCAGGTGATCCCCAGGCAAGCAGGACCTGGAGTGGACCTCAGAAGTCCTACAGCAGAGGGGTCTGACTGTAAGAAGGAAAACTAAGAAACAGAAAGAAATAACTTCATCATCAACAACAAGGACATCCAGACATCCCATCTGAAAGCCACCAACTACAAAGACAACAGGTAGATAAATCCACAAAGATGGGAAGAAACCAGTGCAAAAAGTTTGAAAACACCCAAACCAGAACACCTCTCCTCCTCCAAGGGATCACAACTCCTTACCAGCAAGGGAACAAGGCTGGATGGAGAATGAGTCTGATGAATTGACAGAAACAGGCTTCAGAAGGTGGGTAATAACAAACTTCTCTGAGCTAAAAGAACATGTTCTAACCCAATGCAAAGAAACTAAGAACCTTGAAAAAAGGTTTGACAAAATACTAATGAGAATAAACAGCTTAGAGAGGAACATAAATGAATTGATGGAGCTGAAAAATACAACACAAGAACTTCATGAAGTATACACAAGTTTCAATAGCCGAATTGACCAAGCAGAAGAAAGGATATCAGAGATTGAAGACCAACTTAATGAAATAAAATGAGAAGGCAAGATTAGAGAAAAAAGAGTAAAAAAACAAAAATGAACAAAGCATCCAAGAAATATGGAATTATGTGATAAGACATAATCTACATTTGATAGATGTACCTGAATGTGATAGAAAGAATGAATCCAAGCTGGAAAACACTCTTCAGGATATTATCCAGGAGAACTTCCCAACCTAGCTAGGCAGGCCAACATTCAAGTCCTGGAAATACAGAGAACACCACAAAGATATTCCTCAAGAAGAGCAACTCCAAGACACATAATCATCAGATTCACGAGGGCTGAAATGAAGAAAAAAATGCAAAGGGCAGCCAAAAGGAAAGGTCGGGTTACCCACAAAGGGAAGCCCATCAGACCCACAGCAGATCTCTAGAAATAAAATCCTTTACAAACAAGAATTTGCTCAGAGATTTCATCACCACCAGGCCTGCTTTACAAGAGCTCCTGAAAGAGGCACTAAACATAGGAACAACCAGTACCAGCCACTCCAAAAACATACCAAATGGTAAAGAGCACAAACACAATAAAGAAACTGTGTCAACTAATGGGCAAAAAAACCAGCTAGCATCAGAATGGCAGGATCAAATTTTCACATAACAATACTAACCTTAAATATAAATGGGCTAAATGCCTTAATCAAAAGACACCGACTGGCAAATTGGATAAAAAGTCAAAATCCATTGGTGTGCTGTATTCAGAAAATCTATCTCACATGCAAGTATAAACATAGGCTCAAAATAAAGGGATAGAGGAAGATTTACCAAGCAAATGAAAAGCAAAAAATAGCAGGAGTTGCAATCCTAGTCTCTGATAAAATGGACTTTAAACCAACAAAGACAAAAGAGATAAAGAAGTGCATTACATAATAGTAAAATGATCAATGAAACAAGAAGAGCTAATGATCCTAAATATATATGCACCCAATACAGGAGCACCCAGATACATAAAGAAAGTTCTTAATGACCTACAAAGAGACTTAGGCTCCCACACAATAATAGTGGGAGATGTTAACACTCCACTGTCAATATTAGACAGATCAGCAAGACAGAAAATCAACAAGGATATCCAGGACTTGAACTGAGACCTGGACCAAGTGAACCTAATAGACATTTACAGAGCTCTTCACCCCAAATCCAAAGAATATACATTCTTCTCAGCACCACATCACACCTACTCTAAAATTGACCACATAATTGGAAGTAAATCACTCCTCAGCAAATGCAAAAGAATGGAAATCATAACAAACAGTCTCTCAGACCATAGTGCAATCAAGTTAGAACTCAGAATTCAGAAACTAACTCAGAACCAAACAACTTCATGAAATCTGAACAACTGTCTCTTGAATATTGACTGGATAAACAATGAAATGAAGGCACAATCAAGATGTTCTTTGAAACCAATGAGAACGAAGACGCAATGTACCAGAATCTCTGGGACACATTTAAATCAGTGTCTAGAGGAAAACTTTTAGCAATAAATGCCCACATGAGAAGAATGAAAAATAAAAATTGATATCCTATCATCAAAATTGAAAGAGCTAGAGGAGCAAGATCAAAAAAACTCAAAACCTAGCAGAAGACAAGAAATAACTAAGATCAAAGCAGAACTGAAAGAGACAGAGACATAAAAAATCCTTCAAAAAATCAATAAATCCATGAGCTGGATTTTTTGAAAAGATCAACAAAATAGACAGACTACAAGCCAGATTAATAAAAAAGGAAAGAAAGAAGAATCAAATAGGTGCAATAAAAAACTATAAAGAGAATATCCCCACAGATTATACAGAAATACAAACCACCATCAGAGATTACTGCAAACAACTCTATGCACATAAACCAGTAAGCCCAGGAGAAATGGGTAAATTCCTGGACACTTGCACCCTCCCAAGCCTAAACCAGGAAGAAGCCAAAGCCCTGAATAGACCAATAACAAGAGCTGAAGTGGAGGCAGCAATTAATAGCCTAACAAACAAAAAAAAGTCCAGGTACAGAAGTGTTCACAGCCGAATTCTACCAGACATACAAAGAGGAGCTGGTACCACTCCTTCTGAAACTATTCCAAACAATCCAAAAAGACAGAATCCTTCCCAAATCATTTTATGAGACCAACATCATCCTGACACCAAAGCCCGGCAGAGACTCAACAAGAAAAGAAAACTTCAGGCCAATATCCATGATGAACATACATGCAAAAATCTTCAATAAAATACTGGCAAACTGAACGCAACAGCGCATCAAAAAGTTTATCCATCACGATCAGGTAGGCTTCATCCTGGGGATGCAAGTCTGGTTCAACATATGCAAGTCTATAAACGTAATTCACCACATAAACAGAACCAAAGACAAAAACCACATGATTACCTCAATAGATACAGAAGGCCTTTGACAAAATTCAACAACCCTTTATGCTAAAAGCTCTAAATAAACTAGGTATTGATGGAATGTATTTCAAAACAATAAAAGCTATTTATGACAAATCCACAGCCAATATCATACTGAATGGGTAAAAACTGGAAGCATTTTCTTTGAAATCTGATAATAGACAAGGGTGCCCTCTCTCACCACTCCTATTCAATATAGTATTGGAAGTTCTAGCCTGAGCAATCAGGCAAGAAAAAGAAATAAAAGGTATTCACTTAGGAAAGGAGGAAGCCAAATTGTC